TGGTGTTTAGAATTTTGACTAATTGTATGCTTAGATTGGATGTTTACCTGCCCCCTGTGCCTTTATGCAGAATCCTCGGAAGACACTCTGACAACCACAGGAAGCACCGTCAAATCTCGCTGTCCGGCGTACGTCCGCTTGAGTGGAGAATCTCAGAGGAGCACGCCTGATAGCACGGGCTTCCAAACTTCATCTGGGACTGGAGGTGAGCATCAAGTCCATTTTAGGATATACACTAACCCAGCTTTAAGTCGGTTGGGTCATAGCCACTCAATAGAAAGGTTGAGTTGATATTCCTGTCTTCTAGCCGTAACTAGAACCTTAGTCCTACCTCTAATCTCCATGGGATTTGGCGCAGGGTAACGATCTCTTATATGTAATAGCAAAGCCTTGTTTACTGGGCATAACTACCTACTTATTTCGTATTAGTAAGTATGGTTTGTTTTACTTCTTTGGCCCCGGCTGTTACTTGCTACAAGCTTAGGCCATCGCTTATCCATATATTCCTTTGCCCCCCCCCGCCCCCGCTCCCCGTCCTAGGGCTACTTGTATTGCAGGACGAGGGGTATTTATATCGCAGAGTGTGACCAAAGTCAGTACTGTCATTGCGTAGGAATCTACCAGCTTTGATCCGGTTTTATTTCGCCTCTACCAGTGCGTGACCAAAGCAGGTAGATTCGAGTACCTTGCCAGTAATCCCTGACCACTAAAAGAGTTATTTGCTGGGGCTGGGGCAACATTCACCCCGCTCGTCTCATCTAACCATTGTTCTCTTTTGCTCCGCACCATTATTTTTTTTTTACAACCAGACCTCGCTCAACCCATGACTCGCACATCCTCCTCCTCGATTCCACTCCCTATGACTGCCACAGCAGCCATCGAATCTCGACTCTCCTACTCGGATTCGCCCTTCGCAGGAGATATGGCCGAGCAGTTGGTCGCCACGGCGCCAGACGAGTCCCTGGACAACACGTCTTCTTCGCAACGAGATGCCGATGGAAAGCCTCAAAAGTACCCTCGAACCTCCGCATCTCTGGGCTCTTTGCCCAGCTGTTGGAGGAAGATGCTTGCTAACATTGACATCTTCTCGACCATCCCAGAGCCGAAGAATATCTCTAAAAGGGTACCTGCTCGTGCACCTTACCGAGTCCTAGTAACCGCAGTTTTGGTTACTGACGTTTGATAAGTATGCCTAAATCATTACTATATGCGTTTTAGTAGGCGCAGTTGTGCTTTAGATTGGGTATGACTGACTGATGACGGCTAACAAGGCAGAACTGGCCATTCCGGTCTCCCTTTGCTTTGTCGGATCAATTTCAGCAGTCGTGCTTATTTATTTCAGTACAATCACATTCCACCATATTTCGACCCATCTCGTTGCACCCCAGTGCTGATGGTTGGTTTTGCCAATTTACTGAGCATAAGTTCATTGCGCCGCCCACGCGGGAATATTTGTTTACGTGCTATTACTTTCGATTGCAGGAAATATAAAACCTGTACAGAATCTGTTAGCCTCTTTGATTACTTGTTTCAACTTACTCGATTGCAGCCCCCATATGGAACTGTTTAGCTGTCAGCGATTTATTTTTCGACTGCAGCAGCCCCCATATCGGTTAGATTAGCCTTCGTGAATTGCACGAATTGCTTAGTATCCCTATTTTGCCTATTATTTTCTGTTTCCGTTTGCTATATGTATTTTTTCTTTCCTCCCCCGCGCCCCGTAATTCCCCACCCATAAAATTCCTGTTGCCGCTGTTCCAGTAAGGCAGAATTCTGAGACTAGAGATATCTGACGTGCGCAATCAAACCTACAGTCGCCCGAGTCCATGCTAGTTGCCCAAAGCGCATGTCAGGATTTCTCCAAACATAGCCTCTACTGTCAGCGCTTTTCATCTGACAGTCTTGTGTAGTTTGGTTCGTTTTTTTAGGCGAGGCGTCACATG